CTTCATTATATGCATTTTTTCAACGTTTATTACTTTTGTGTGTATATATTTTTTTTTTCTAATATTTTTCAGTTTATTTACACATCTTTTCATCTTCTCCATTATTGCATTATGCATAGTTTGGGCTTACTTGCTTTTAAAATTGTGGTTTGCGTTTGTTCTTCGATTTAGACACTATTTGGCATCCTTTATATTATTAGCACACTTTTTTTATCTTTTTATCTTTTTTAAGTCACATTACCTCTTTATTTTTTTGCACATCTTTTGGTAAAAAGTCAAAAAATATAGTTATTTAGATTATCGCAAATACTCTCTTAATCAGTTTTGAAATCCATCAAATGTTGAATTAATTTTATTTTTTAATGTCAAAAGGCTGTCTCCAAATTCAAAAAAAAATTAATCAGAATTCAAAGAAAATTTTATTTTCTTGGAAAATAGGAGTTCTTGAGAAACAAATCCAAAATAATCCAAAAAAAACAACCATAGATAATCCAAACCTGTCTATTTCATTTGTTTCCGTTTTCATTTTCTCTTTTACATAAAATCTCATATTGGATTTTTGCTGTCTATTTCATTTGTTTCCTTTTTCATTTTCTCTTTCACATAAAATCTCATATTGGATTTTTGCTCTCTATTTTCTTCTGTCATTTTATTTATTTATTTTTTTTTGGTTTTTTAGTTTTAGTTTTAGTTTATTTGATGTATTCAGTTTTTTATATTTGGAACACATTTGTGAGTTTGAAGAAAGTTTTGTTCAATCTCATTTATTTTTTATTATATTTTTTTCTTCAATTATATTAATTTATGTGTTCGATTTTGTTGTAATATATAAGGAAGAATTATATTATATTTTATTTTTATTTTTAGTTTTGTCTTATCTTATTTTTTGAATTTTTAAATTTCAACTTAATTTTTTTTTTCAATCTTGATTTAATGTTTACTGGATTCCTCTCTACCTCTTTTTCTAGGATTTATCTAATTTTCCCTTTTTATATTCTTATTATAGTTTATTTTCAATTATTTTTAATATTGAACTTATATTTACAAAATATCGCACTTGCTCTTGATTTTTAGTTCAATTTATCATTTTTCTATGATTTATCTAATTTTCTCTTTCTATATTCTTATAATTTATCTTCAAATTTAAACTTTTTTTTTTAATCTTTATCTTATATTTACAAAATTCTACTCTTGCTCTTTATTTTCAGTTGAGTTTGTCCAATTGAGTGTGTTTCAAAAAAAAATTGAATTAGATACCTATATAAATATAGTGAGATCACTCAAATCTACTATTTAAATATCCATCTAAATTAATATCATAATTGTTGGCTATATATTTTGTACAGACCTATCGCAGCCTGACACATGGATTAGAAGGGGCAAATTGAGGAATCAGTAAAGGTCTCCAACCATAAACAGATATGTGGCAACTTGCAGCAATGGCAATGGATCCGCAAGACATGGGAGCAGTCAAGATATCCAAGGTAACGTGGCCAAATGGTTGTCTATAGTTTAAATTCAAATTTAGGAGGGAAGCACAACCATGAATAGTGGAACAGTGGAAACAAACTGATCAAAGCCACAGGCCACACTTAGTGATCATGGAGATCATTTCGACAGTTATCACCTACTTCAACGGATTATCAGCCACTTCGATGGTTATATTCAGAGCCTATAAATAAAGGAGAGTGTTGATAATGCAAGGACCCAAAACTAGATCTAGATACCATATTTTCCAATCCTTTAAATTCCAGTCTTTACATTCTTGTACTGCACTTCAAATTCCTAGGAGTAATTCTAAGTTAGTTTGTTGTTGTAATACCCTTTGAAGCTATGAAAGTGTGAAGCTACAATTGTAAACTTCTGTTTACTTAATAAAAGATTGATTTCGAACACTATTGTTCCCTCTTTCTTTATTTTTTCTAGTCTTCTTAATTTTCTCCTCAAAACTAAGCCACCAATAAAGTCCTCTTCATTGAGGCAGAAAGAACTTCGAAGCAATCGTCTGATTAATGCCAACGTAAGGACTTATTGATCCTTGTTGTCACGCTCCAATTACGATTCTAACCTTCAAAAGCCAAAAAAAGCCAATAAATATTTTTGGCACGCCCAGTGAGACCTTTATAATGGCTAGACCTAGAAGACAAGAAGAAAATGAGTGCCTTGAAGAAGGTGTTGAAGGAGATTTAGACGTACAAAACCTAGAGGATAATGTAGTATCACATCCCATGGATGTGCTTGTCTCAATGGATCGTCCACAAATGGTCGAAGAGACCAACACTTCAGGTCACACAACATATGTCCAGAATATTAGACAAGGCCATGAAACTGGACCATCAACTATCCCCTCTACCCAACCAATGAATCCATGGGGAGGGTTAGTAGATGTTACGGGACAGCAATTAATGTATATAATAGAAAGATGGACAACATCCTTTTTGGATCGAATGAATTCTCATCAACCACCTATCACAAGGCAAGTTGACGAGAACATGAGTTCTTTTCAGCATAGATTGGCTCGAGATAAACAGACTATGCAAAATAATGGATAGACTAGTGGTCAAGCTAATAATCAGAACCATGAGAGGCCATCACTTGTGCCTTAATCATGGTATGAAGCTCCTCCTAGACCACTAGCAAGTCAAAATGCACCAATGCCTACTAGCGAAACCATAAATATTGGTAAGTTTGGACTGACAAAAGGGAATGGCATGCGAGTGTTTTCAAATCCTATGTTTGAACCCATGTCTGGCACACGAGTGTTTACCAATCCTGTGTTTGAATTCACACCTGGGGGTTGGAAGGAATTTCTGTTGTTAGAAGAGAAACAACGCGTGTTCCTTTTCCTGTGGTTCCCTTCACAGTACCTTTCGTAGGGTAGATGCCTGCCCCAAGAGGGCAACCATACTCTCAACATCAACCAGCACAGCAGGGACAACCTGTTCCAAATGTGCCTTTGCATGGACCAAGAGGGCCTCAAGCACATGGAGTTCCTCCAAATCCTGTGTTTGTTTCTCTAGTAATGGCCCAACCAGCACAAAACATGGTTCCTAGGGACCAAATTGCTAATATTGTTAGAGAGATTTGTGGACCCATGGCCCAGGGGGTCTAGACTCCTATTTACAGAAAACCTTACCCAAAATGGATAGATAGGTTACATGAATACCCAAGGGGATTTAGGATATTAGACTTTGCCCTCTTTTATGGAAATGGGAACTAGTCGACTGTAAAGCACATTGCCAGGTTTACAGGCCAATGTAGGGAATTCACCAACAATGATTACATGAAGTTAAGACTTTTTTCAAACTCTCTAACTGGGACAACCTTTGTATAGTATACAAACCTTACACCTGATTCTATCTAAACTTGGCAACAAATGAAAGAGGTATTTCATGCTCAGTTTTCTCAAATAGAGCCTGAAGTATCTATGGCAGTACTACCTAAACCTGAATTTTTAAGATTGGCCCAAATGGGCTATAGTTTAGGCTTTGAAAGAAGTTTGATTCAACAGAGTTTCAAGACCTAGTAGAACTAACTTATAAAGTTACTAGATATGAGACTCTCCTTAAAGAAGAATAGGATTAAAGTAATGCATCTTATAGGACCTATTATGGGGACCCTAATTTTGAAATTGATGCAGTAGATATTATAGGACAATAAAGTATGATCTGTGAAGCATTAATTCAGAAAGATACCACTATTGATCAACAGTTTAAAAAGAAAGATCTTCACATGAAATATTCTTTCACTATATCAAAAGCAGATGACATATTTGATCATTTGTTAGCAGCACATTTTTTAAAATTGCCTAAGGGAGTTAAGATCCCAACTTCAGAAGAAATAAGAGGCAAAATGTATTACAAATGGCATAATTCTTGGTCTCATTCAACTAAAAACTACATTGTTTTTCAAGATAGGATTCAAGAGCAAATTCGGAAAGGAAGATTGAAATTCCCAACCAAAGCAGATAAGGTAATGGGAATTGGCATTGACCTTTTTCCAAAAATCAAAGAAGTTGTAGCCAATGTTGGCACACTAGACTTCTTTGCCCAAAAGGTGAAGAAGCACCTTTCCTTGAAAGAGTTGGATTAGGTCAACGTGCAGGTGCATGTGGCTGGTCCAAATGCCTTTAGGAAGAATGCACAATTTTCACCAGCAAGTGGGTAGGGCTTCGTAGGCCAAAAGGATGATCCCAGCGATGAGCTTATAGATGATGACTCACTCGCAGCAACTGTTATACAACAAATGTGTCCCAGATGCAGGTTGAGTTACAAATGGTTGAAAAGGCTTCCAGTTGATAGGAAGCAGTATTACAAAGATGTGTAAAGAGATCGTAAGCCAATCAATGCCTACAACAAGAGGGCTTATCCAAGGGATCTTAACCAGTAGCCATCCTTGGAGAGGCCACTGGGTGCCAAGAATCTGTCAAAGGGCAAGAGACCCTTGTATGAAACCAGGTCACCAAACCATTACAAAATAGCCAATAAGCCTATAAATAAGCCTAAGCTTGGCCCAAAATAGGAAACCAGGCCAATGAATGGCCTTCGAAGACAAAAGTAGTAGGCTTGACAGCTGGCTTAGTGCATTCATGGGTACCAAGAGTACCAGATTGGTTTAGCATGCAGAATAAATCTAAAATGATACCAACCCAAGGAAAGGCCTTTACAGGCAAAGACAGAATAGTCAAACCGCCTTTAGTGGCCCCCAATAATTGGGTCCTACTTAAAAACCTAAAGACAAAGGAACCAGATATGGTTCTTGTGATCTCTAAATCTCAAAGAAGAAAAATCCAACGAAGGTTCACTCAATATCAGAGGGATCTTAAAGGGGCTGGTGAGGGGACCTCTTTTGTGCAATCAAAAGGTTAAGTGGGGAAAAAAGAGAATTCGAAGCATACTCCCAAGATTAACAGAAATGCTAGCAGAGAGAGGTTGGCCAAGATTTATATCAAACTAAAAGCCAAAGAGAAATCATATTTGGAGGACCTCAAAAAGGCCTTAATGGAAAGTAATGATGGCAATGAGACAAGCGAGGAAATTGAACCAGGCCAAGAACGGGAGTTGGCCAAAGAAGATACGTTCGAAGCCTTCATGGCTGAACAATTAGTATCCATGTTGAAGATAGATCAGCAACATACTGTTGTTAAGGAGTATACCAACTTAGAAGTTCCAGAATGTAGTATGGAAGATGCACCCCAGGCATCTGGCCAGGCCAGCACAGAAGGGGAGCAGATACAGCCAGTGATGCAGTTTGGTTCATTCTCCCCAATGCCAATCAATATGGTGTGCATACTACCTCAGGAATTTCAAATAGAATAATGAAATTAAGAAGGACAGGAGGATGAATCCATAGAAGTTTCTGGTGAAGTCTCACAAGCCATCATAGTCCAGGATGACTCTGAAGTAGCTTAGCCCATGGACACTAATGAAGAAAATGAAAAAGTGAGCATAGTTACTCTATCATACCCCTTTGAATATCCCACATCATGAATGACTCAGCATGTTAAACCTCTATACATTAAGGCATACTTCGATGGAATATAAATGAATAGGGTACTGGTGGATAATGGGACAGTAGTAAATTTGTTTCCTCATTCATCTTGGAAAAAGTTAGGCAAAAGGAATCTCAAGTTGATCCCAACAAGCACAACCTTGTCGGTTTTGTTAGGGACAAACAAATGGCCCAAGGCATATCACCCATTAATTTGAGTGTGGAGACAAGGGATTGTATGACTGCCTTTTTTTGGTCACAGACAGTAATGCCAAGTATAAGATTAGATCCACACCAACAAATGCGTGCCCACCTCTTTACATCAGAAGGTGATGATAGCTTTGAGCAATGAGGAGATAGAGGAGATAAATGCAGACCCACAGCCCTTCTTTGCTTGTGTAGATTTTTCAGAAGCAAAATTGTATACCGAAGGTGGTTCCACTAAGCATACTAAGGAAGCCTGATGGAACAGTCGAAGTGACGGCTGATGAGGAGTTGGCACACCTAAAACACTTGGTACAAGAGAGTGCTGATGATGAATATGACTGCACTATCAAAGATACCAACAATGCCTGGTTGTAGGAAGGAGGATCATGAGGCCAGATCTTTGGCTTTGGTGAAGTTTTTCATATTGGACATCAATGCAATAGTCCAAAGGGTTCAGAAGGAATAAAAGAAAGCCATGGTGATTGGCTGCTACAAACATGAGCAACAGGGAGGCCAAATCATTGGCTCTAAGCAAATATTGTGCATTGTGCATTGTACATTGAGACTAAAGTCCAGGAGATACAGGAAAAAGAGGCTCTATGGACAGACTTGGTCTATGAAGAAGAAAGAAAAGAGGCTGAGCTAGGAAAAGTTATGGTAGATCAGGAGGAGAAGGTTGTTTCGAAACCAGTAGAAGCTAATGAGAGATAGTAGTAAACACTTAGATGCAGGATCCTTTAGAGGAGATCAATTTAGGGGATGCATCAGTGCAACAACCTACCTATATTAGTGCCTGGTTGGATCCTATTGCCAGGAACCAGTTATTAGCCCTACTAAAGAACATAAGGATTGTTTTGCTTGGTCTTACAATGATCTTCCTGGATTGGATAGGTTATTAGTGGAACATAGACCCTCAGTTAAGCCAAATTTTAAACCTTACAAGAAGAAGCCTAGACGAATGAGTCCTGAGGTAATTCAAAAGGTGAAAAAGGAGATTGCTAGGCTTCTCAAGGCAGGCTTTATCAAAACAGCCAGATATGCTAAATGGTTGTCCAACATAGTGCCTGTGATTAAGAAGAATGGCAAGTTAAGGGTATGTATTGATTTCAGAAATCTGAACTTGACAACTCCAAAAGATGAGTACCCATGCCTGTAGTGGATCTGCTGGTAGACAGTTCAGCAAGACACAATATCTTATCAATGATGGATGGCCATTTTGGCTATAACCAGATATGCATAGCAAAAGGAGGATGTTCGCAATATAGCTTTCAGGTGTCCTGGGAACATTTGGACCTTTGAATGGGTTAAAATGCCATTTGGTTTAAAGAATGCTGGAGCAACATATCAAAGAGCAATGAACACTATCTTCCATGATCTCATTGGGGGATACTTGGAGTGTTACATTGGTGATGGTATGGTAAAATCTATGTCTATGGAAGAGCATCTGGTCCACTTGACAACAACTTTCGAAAGAATACAAAAATTTAAGCTAAAACTCAATCCACTCAAATGTGCTTTTGGTGTGTCAGCTGAAAACTTCTTAGGGTATATAGTACACAAGAAAGGAATACATATTGATTAGAACAAAGCCAGAGCCATCATTGAGGCCAAACCTCCATCAAGTAAGAAAGGCTTGCAAAAATTTCTTTGTCAAGTTAATTTTCTTCAAAGGTTTATTTCTAACACTACTAGGAAAACTAAAGTTTTTTCTTCTCTGTTGAAGTTAAAAAATGAAGAAGACTTTAGGTGAACAGTAGAGCATCAGGCTATTTTCGAATGAATAAAAGCCTACCTAGCCAAACCTCCATTGCTGATGCCACCAAGAAATAACAAACCTTTGAAGTTATACATTACTGCAACTAAAGAATCATTAGGAGTCTTTTTGGCTCAAGACAATGAAGAAGGCAAGGAACAAGCAGTATATTACCTTAGTAGGTTTTTAAACTCTTGTGAATGTAAATACTCAGCTGTTGAAAAGCTGTGTTTAGCCCTTGTACTTTGCAGCAATAAAATTAAGATATTATCTTTTGCCTACTATTGTCTTGGTAATTGCAACCAGAGATTTGGTTAAACACATGTTGTCTAGACCTATACTGAGAGGAAGAATAGGCAAATGGATCTTGGCATTGTTAGAGTTCCACTTGGAATATGTTCCTCAAAAGGCAATGAAAGGTCAAGTATTGGCCAATTTTTTAACTGATCATCCATGCCAATCACAAGGTCAAAAAATAATAGATCTTGATACAAAAGATTTAGAGCCATGGCAGATGTGGTTTGATGAATCAAAGGCTAATGGTCTGGTGGGGATAGGTGTTGTGATTAAATCACCCCAAGGAGCAGAAACCACACATGGTTTCAGAATTGATGAAATTACTTGTTCCAATAATCAAGCTGAATACAAAGCCTTGATTATGGGACTTGAGACACTTATTGGTTTACTGGCTATACATTTGGAGATTCTCAATTGGTAATTAATCAAGTAAAAAGAATCTTTAAATGTCAAAGTGCAAGCATGTTACCATATTATGTTGCTGCAGTTCATTTGCTCTCTCATTTCCAAGTGGCAGATGTGACGTATATCCCAAGATTCATGAATCATAAGGCTAATAATGTGGCCCAGAAAGCTTCGAATTTCAGGAGAAAAGATAATAGTACACAACTAGATATGGGCCACACAACATATCAGAAGTTGATACCACCTTAGCAAAATGGAGTTTATTGGTAGAAGCCAATCAGAATGACTTGGAAAAGCAAGATTGGAGATATCCAATCATTCAATATTTGACTGGCCCATCTTCGAAGGCTAGCAAAAAGCTTAAGTTACAATCCATGCAATTTATAATGTATGGGAATGCTTAACAAAAGAGGGACAAATGGTCTCTTATAAGAGTGTTTGGAACCAAAGGAAGCATTGATCGTCATGGCTGAGGTTTATGAAAGCATTTGTGGTGCTCACCAACCTAGGGTTAAGATGAGATGGCTGCTTCGAAGGCACTCTTATTATTGGCCAACCATCCTTAAAGACTGCATAGAGTATGCAAAAGGTTGTTAGGCATGCCAAAAGCATGGTATGATAAGATATGTTCCAATAACTGATTTGCATGTAGTAGTGAAGCCTTGGCCCTTTATAGAATGGGCAATGGATATGATGGAAAAAATTTACCCACCTTCTTCAAAACAACACTGTTTCATTCTAGTAGCTACAAATTACTTTACAAAGTAGGTTGAGGCTAAGCCCTATAAAACTATGGATTAGACAGAAGTAATTGATTTCATCAAAGAGTTGATCCACAAGTTTGGTATTTTATAGACCATAACTGTGGATAATGGGACTGTGTTCGATGGGAAGCTAGTAAAAGCTCTCGCAACAGAATTTGGAATTAGTCTTATTAATTACACCCCCTATTATGCACAAGCTAATGGCCAAACAGAGTCATCGAACAAATCCTTGAAGAAAGGAATACAGAGTGTTGTTGAAGACAATCCTAGAGACTGGCATAATTTACTATTAGATGTGATGTGGGCTTATAGAACTTCTCAAAGATCAAGCATAGGAATTACCCCTTACATCTTGGTATATGGGCATGATGCTGTATTACCTGTTGAGATCAATATAAAGTCTTTAAGGGTCAGGTGCCAGGATCACCTAAGCACTGATTAGTATCATTAGAGCATGTGTTTGGAATTAGAAAATATAGATGGGGCCAGAATTTTGGCACTAAACAACATCCTTCTATAAAAGAGAAAAAATAGCCAAAAGCTATAATAAAAGGGTCCAACACCTTAGCTTTGATAAATGAGACTTGGTTTGGAAAACAATACTTCCAGTAGGAATTAAAAACCACAAGTTTGGCAAATGGTCACCTAATTGGGAAGGACCATACCAAGTCCATGGGGTCCTATCTGGGGGAGCCTATCATTTAAAAAATCTAAATGGATATGTGCATCCCAGAAAAATTAATGGTAGGTATTTAAAGCATTGTTACCCAATTGTGTAGGAAACACAAGGAGTATAGGATCATCATACAAAACATCAATGAGAAATAAGAACACGGATAAATAAGAATATTTCATTTTATAATGAATCAAGTACATTCTGCCATAGTTTGGCCTAGGATTCTTTACAATGTCTCAATTGTTCCCTTACAATAAGTTCTCTAATTCTAAGGGCTGGGAACAGTTGAATGGCAGTGTTCATCTCCTGCCTGCGGTTGGATAGCCCCTGGTGAGAGGAATGTAGTGTCTGTGCATTCTGCTCCAAGGCCAGGTTGACTACTGCTAGCTCCTTCTCTAATTCTACCTTCATGTGTAGTAACTGAACTTAGAGCTATGTGGCAGAAGAGTGTTGTCTCTTCAACATTGAAACTGCAGAATGGACATGAGTGACAAACTCCTTATCTTTTAGGAATTCTTTCCCTGCAACCTTGGCTAGTTGATGGATATTGACATAGAATTTGATGGTTGCTACTACCTGAGACAAGTGGCCTCTGAATGAGGCATTGGTCTACTCAAAGAATTGGCAGCATTTGAGGAAACCATTTTTGATTGTTGGTTTTGCTAAAGCTTCGAATGGGACCCTTGAGAAAGTCCTAATCAACTCCAAACAGACCTCCAAATCCACCTGAGGAAGAGGAGTGGAGGATTCAGCAGCAAGAGAGCCTCCAATTATCTCCAGGAAAGAGTCAGCTAGATCTAAGGGCTCAACCTCATTGCCAGATGGAAGCACTAGTGTAGATATGCCAAATAAGCTTGCCAGTCGGGCTTCGAGGATATCCATCTCTTTCTCTAACAAAGGGAATGTGGAGGAGTTACTGGTGAAAGGTAATGCTGGAGTGATTGGTGGAGGAGAAGGAGAGGAGGATACCTCAGCGGCATTAATGGTCCTAGCCACTAACAAGTCCAAAGAAGGAGAACTAGAGCAAGGCATTGAAGGAAGTGTTAGTGGGCTGCAAGTGCCATCCCCAGATGTACCAACTGTTGGTCTAGAAGCGTACTCTTAGAAGGAAAAGGGCTGGCTAGGACTTTGGGAGATGTGGAAGCAGGCAAAGGTGAGAAAATGGTCACCAGGAAAAAGGAGAGGAAAGGATGAGGGGCAAGTCAAGTTTGAAAGGCACCAAGGAAGAGGCCATAGGGAGTACAGGAAGTGTAGAGGCAATGGTGGGGAATATCATCTGCAAGGCCTCTACCTTCATTGGAAAATTGACATCTGCTTGCCCTTTTCCATTTAGAGCCTTCTTCAAATTTGCAGAGCTCAAGAATGGTCCTTTGCAACTTGGTGGATGAGAAGCAAAAGGCAGCGGAGAAGATGTAGGTAGGCTAGCTGTTACTGTATATCAAAGGAAAAGAAGTACAAAAACAAAGCTGAAAGGGCAAATCAAAACTAGAAGTGTTGACAAAAGCAAGAAGAGTTACTAACAGTTGTAGTAATGATAGTTGGAGAGCTGCGAAGGATGTGATGTTCAGCAACTTTGCTCTTTCTTGTAGCTTCATGTTGCGTTGCCTTGACAATAGTAGCCTTTTCCTTTAAAATTTTCTGCTGCCTATTCTTCTCATATCTTTGAAACACAAGGACCTCCTTGGCCTACTCCTTTTCTACTGCCTTAGCAACTACTTCATGAACAGCATCTATAGGTGTAGCGCCCGACTTTCTCCGCGCGTCCCCCCTTTCGGAGAGGGCGCGAATTGGTCGTCCTACAGTTCAGACTCCCGTCACGGTTCTAAATCTAATCTCACAAAGTGTAATGTAAGACTAATAAATCACTAAAGAGTCCAAATCTGGCAATTGGTTTTAAAAATCAATTTTGAATAAAAAAGCGCCAAACATGGACTGCTTTGCCAGATTATAGAGTCGCCACCTAAATGTTTTGTTTTGGAAAATTTAGGAAACCCTGACTTGTGCCAAAGGCCATGTGTCCGTCATCACCAAAGTTACCTCAGCTCGGGAACTTGGGTATGAGAGGGGAAGGTCATAACCTGAGCACCCCCGCTCACCCGATCAAAGGATCGGCCTCTACTAAACATGATATGTTATTTGATAAACACATGTGTTACTATTCCGATTATTTAGCTAACTTACGATGTGATATGCTCAGCATACAAGTATAGACTCAATCACGCGAATTGGAAAAAAACAACTCATGTTTGTTTTTGAAAATG